GCCTTTTCTCACCCATCAGAGAGGAAAATTGCATAACTCAAGCACACTGATTAGAGTAAAGGAAGGGTCTTGCCTCAGTAAAAGACCAGGGAGTAGCCTTAGATTAAATGTAACTCTGGTCCTGTCTAACAAAACTTAGAATTGAAAGATAAAACTACTTCCAAGAAAATAGCATCCAGGGATATTTATATTTATAGGAATTCACGAAACATCCAGCATTCAATAAGGTAAAATTCATACTGCTTAGCATTCAATCAAAAATTACCAACATGCAAAACAGTAGAAAAATAGGACCCATAATAATAAGAAGATTCAGATCAATAAAACTGAAAAATTAAGTCAAATGATAAATGTAATAGACACATTATAATGACTGTATCTTCTATGTCCAAGAAACGAGAGGAAGGACTGGATATATTGTCAAGACATGGAAACCACACACACACACACACACACACACACATGCACGCACGCACGCACACATGCACTCACATCTCCAATGCCTAGAGATGGTAATTGTATTGTCTGAAATAAAAAAAATACATGGGTATGGTTAAGGAGATTAGAATTTTAAGAGACAAGATTTCTAAACTTAAATGTAAAACAGTTCAAAATGAAATAGAGAAAATACTTGCAAAAACAGAAGCAGAGCATCAGGGAATCACAGAATAGTATCAAGCAGCCAAAACACATAAAGGAAAAAAGGGCATTTTTTTTGAACAATAAGGGTTGAATATGTTCCAAATCAGATAAAAAACTAGACCCACACACCTCAAAGACACAAAACAAGTACCAGCAACACTAAGGAGGAGCTGGAGGGATGGCTCAGCAGTTAAGAGCACTGCTTACTCTTGCAGAGGACCCAGGTTCAATTCCCAGCAACCCCATGGCTGCTTACAGACACCATAGCTTAGTTCCAGGGGCTCCAACACCCTCTTCTGGCCCCTGTGGGTACCAAACATTCATGTGGTGCACATACATACATACATGCAGACAAAAATACTCAAACACATAAAATAAAAATATATAAATCTTTTTTTTAAACCATAAAGAAAATCATACCAAGCCTCAAAATCAAATTGATTAAAATACAAATAATAAAGAAAAAAAATCTTAAAAGCAACTGACCAGAAAAGGGGCATCTGCATACAGGGTAATAAGGGCAATAAGCAAACTAAAATAAGGAAAGAAACAAGGATTCTGCTTTTATCATGTTTTACAACCTTTTACTGGAGATTCTATTTAGCAAAAGTAAGGAAAATATGAACAGAGAGCATCCAGATTGGGCAGAAAAAAGTAAAACAATCTTTAAGTGGCAAGATATAATCATCCATATTTTAAAATACTATGCGCTTTACTAAAAAAGCTATTAGAAATAAATAGTTTAACAAAGTTAAAGACTATAAGACTATATACAAAATTAATTTTAATTCTATATACTAGCCACAAAACACTGGAAATTCAAATTTAAAAGGCAATACCATTATAAATCATAAAAACATGAAATACCTAGGGACAGACACATCAGGCAGAAGTGTGGAAGACCAGCATTTTGAAAACTACACAGCACTGTGAAAAGAAATTACAGAAGCTTAAGTAAATGGAGAAAGACTGTTCATTTGCTGGAAGACATAATATTGACACTAGGTCAGTTCTTCCCAAACTGATCTCTGTGGATGCCAACTGAAAGGTCAAAAACCTTTGCCAATGTGAATGCCATGGGACCATTTTTTTGGATAGAAACTGACAAGCTGATTCTAAAATTATAAAGACTCAAAATTACAGTAAAATATAAGAACAAAGTTAGCTAACACTAGCTGATTTCAGGCTATAGCTATCAAAGCTTCATTTATCAACAGTGCTGTATTGGCATAAGTGTATGCAAAAGATCAATGGAACAAACAGAGTCTAGAAATAGACACACATATATAATCAGTTATTTTTCGACAAAGTTGCAGAAGCATTTGAACAAATGGTACTAGAAAATTTGGATATCCATAGGCAAAAAATCATCCCATGACAACCAATAAAGATACTTTAATCCTTAACTCACACTCTACATAAAAACTAACTTAAGGGGCTGGATGATGGTCCGTGGATAGGAGCACTTATGGCTCTTGCAAAGAACCTAGGTTCAGTTTCTAGCACCCATACCAGGTGGCTCACAATGGCTTGTAACTCCAACTTCAGGGAATCCGATGCTCTCTTCTGGCCCCTGCTGGCACCTGACTCATATGCACACCCCGACCCCACCCCAATACACAAAATTAAAAATTAAATAAATCTTAAAAGTAGCTAACTTAAACATCATAGTTTCAAGTCCCCAAACCTAAAAGTATCAAACTTCTAGAAGAAAGCAGAGAACAGAGAGAGAGAAACAGAGGAGAAAATCCCCAAGACTTTAATTTATGCATTTACTTTGACAAGGTCTCCCTCCCCGTAGCCCCAGCTGGCCTGAAACTCACTACGCAGACCAGGCTGGCCTCAATCTTACAGAGATCCACCTCCCTCTGCCTCTCTAGTGTTGGGATTAAAGGTGGTGTGTGCCAGGCTGGCAATCTTAAATGTGATACCCAAAGTGCCATCCAGCAAAGAAAGAAATAAATGGGACTACACCAACCTTTTTCACCTTCAAAGACATTAAAGAGAATGACAAATCATCAACTGTAAGAAGATTTCAAGTCATATATATGTATGTATTATTTTCAATAATAGAGATTCTATGCTACAAACATGAAAAATTAACCAAATAAAAATATGTATTCATAGTACATAAAAATTCTGTGCACAAAAATTCTATCCACAAAAGCGAATAAAATATAGACAAAAGATTTGAATAACACTGCACCTAAGAAGGTATGTGGAAGTCGAATAAACACAAGAAAAGATACTCTGCAAAGGACAATAGGGAAATGGAAATCAAGCCCTCAGCAAATATAATGTCCAATATGAAAAAGGTTTCATGGGGAAAGGGGATGAATGTAATACTCACACACTGTCCATAGCAATGTACATGGGACAGCCACTTGGGAAAAGCTTATTTAAAAGGTAAGCATCCACCTATTATATAGAGTCAAGTACTTTATTTCCTGAGTGTTTATACGAATGAAATATAGCATATTTCCACGCAGAGACCTGGACATGAACAATTGAGGCAATTTTATTTGTATAATACATAAAAATGGAAACAGCTCCACTAGTTATCATCACATAGCAGGATAAACAGTTAATAAATTGCTGTGTGCCTATATATGAAATATTCTGTAATCAAAGTAATGAACCAGTAATACAAATAAATCATAGATTATTACCAGACCAGATACATACATGTGTTCATATTACTAGTATATACATATGTACGTATGGTGTCCATTCACTTATGCAAAATTCTAGAAGTCAAACTAGTTGATAGTGATAGATACCTATCCCCAGTTGCCTAGTGATATAGATACAGAAAGAAGACAAGAGGAAAAGATGACAAGGGCTTATAAAGAAAGAGGGGATGAAAGATATATTCATTATTTTAATGGTGGCAGTGGTTTTATGTATATAAAAATGTTGAAACTTACTAAAATTTATCTTTTAAGTACATGTAATTTGAAATATACGTACAGTATATTTCAATAAAGTTTATTTATTGTTGTACTGGGGATTGGACCTTGGGCCTCACAATTACAGGGAAGCCCTCTCCCTTGAGGCTACATCTTTATTCCTTTTTCAACTTTTGTATTTTTCAGACAGGGCTATACTACCTTGCTTAAAATGGCCTTGAACTCACTCTCTAATCCAGGCTGGCCTTAACTTGGAATAAATACTCTTGCCTTAGCCTCCAGAGTAGCTAGCCTTCACCACTGAGTCTAACTACAGTTGTTCATCTTTAAATTGACTGAAATGAAGTAAATAAAAGTTTGGATCATTAGTTACACTAATCATATTTCAAGTGTTAGCAGCCATATGGAGCCAGCTGCTATCATTTGGGATAACACAAGTAGAGAATACTCCTATCACGGCTGTGAGTACCAGAGCACAGCACCCACCTGCCTCCTCCTTAAAGAAGCACACGCTTCTGAGGATGGGAAACAACAGCAGCATTACTAATATATAAATGACTGAAGTTTTTTTAAAAAATGGATTTTACTAAGTCAATTTCAATGTAACTTTTCAGTACAAACAAAATATAACTCCTCTTCATGAACCTATAGAAGTGTTTCCTTGTTTACACAGCACAGCTTCTATGGACAATGATGCTAAACTAAACAATATGGAAAGAAATGAAGAGTTGACAGCCTCTTGGGACTTTCTTCTTCCTTTGATCAAAGTGGTTATAGCTTTCATATAAATCCTAAATGAGCAGAAACCTTTTTGTCATGGATTTATAGACTTCCTGCAAGTTAACCTTTCCTTATATTTCAGAATATGAAGCCACATAATACACCTGAATTTTCTTATTGAAAGGAATCAAGCTCCCTCAGACTGCAAACACAATCAGAAGTGTGAGGACATTCACAGAGAGCCCACCGTGTGCACTGAAATATTTCACCTTCAGTTCCAAAAGCCGGGCAGAGAGGTTATTAAGCAGCACTGGGATTGAGGCTAACCCTTTTCCCCACTATAGCTGTTTGGAAGTTAGAAGTGATTTTATTAAAGCAAACAAACACAAAAACTCCAACTCTATTTCTGTCCCTACCCTAGTAGCCTATGGCCTTGACTTGGGAATCTGTCTGTTCAGTTTTTGACACAGGGAAAGCTGAAATCTCCAACCCTCTTTGATCCACAGTCAGAAACATTAACTTTTCGTGCACATTTTGATGCCTGAGTCACCACCTGTCTCAGAGCAGAAAAGGCAGGTGGAGCGAAGGGGGCAGGGGCAGGGAGCTGGTGGCCAGTGGGGATGAAGGAAGGCAACCCCCAGCTCTGTACTATAGGAGACAAGAATGAAAACAGAAACCAAGTCCCTGCATGGTGGGCAGAAGCAGAACTCAGAAGCCAGCTTCACTTACTTTTTCACACCGACAGAGCCATTTCCCTTGTTTTCCATGTCAACAGACAGCATGGGTTGCAGGGTTCCTCTACTTCCGCAACTAATCGATAAGGGAGAAAAGCTTGGGTTTAATTCTTAGAAAGTGAGAGGAAAATATATATTCTCAACTGGAAACATAATGGTCCCTTTTACAGCTTCACATCAGTTCACAAGTGTTTATTTAAATCTCCGGTTCCCCCGTGATTGGAAAGATGGGATCAAACCTAAGGAACGGGAGGGGAGGGGAGGACTGGGGTGCTTTAATCTGCACAGGGTGCACCGGGTGCTCCCAGCCTTGACAATAAGCATTTGCAAAGGAAACTGAAGCCTCCTTCAAAACAAGTGCTGTGTGACCTGGCACAGCTTCCCAGGGCTGCCGCACTCACTCAAGACACTGCAACTCACACAGGAGGAGTCAAAGTAGAGAAAAACAAGCCCCCCTTTCTGGCCCCCTCCCACTATGGGCTGTGATTTGCTTGCCTTTTTCTTTTATTGCTTTTTTGGGGGTCCACTCCTCCCTGTTTCCAGCAGTGATTGGACTGCAGAAGGGACTTAATTAAAGCTTTTGTCAGAAAGTGTTCCCCTACCTCATATATTCTTAGCAAAAGCAGTCTGGGAGATGCCCATGCACGGTAAAGCAGAAACTCACAAAAAATGCCAGATAGCCTTTAGCACAGAAAGGTGGTATTGTGTGTGTGTGTGTGTGTGTGTGTGTGTCTGTCTGTCTGTCTGTCTGTCTGTGTATCTGTGTATATTTGTGTAAGAAAGGGTGAGCAGCTCATCAGCTTTAGGTAAAATCATCAAAACATTTGCAGCGCAGTAGCATTTATCATTCCGTCTTTTTGTTCGAGGGATGAAGACTGTATGAAAATGAAAACCCTGCACAACTAATATGCAATTAGCAAGATGAAAAAGCTACGAACAGAATGGCTTTAAAGAAAAGAAGAGAGACAAACAAAACCAAAACCCTGAAACGTGTTTCCTCGGATTCAGCTGAAGCCATAAATCAAATACATTTCCTCTCAAATCACTTTTGACTTTGGCACTCCTTCTCTGGGGATTAATGTGACAAGTGCATGGTTTAGTACATTCACAAGAATTTATCGCGGTTAGAGAGTAGATGATTAACAAATAACACTCAAGTGTGGGGTTATCTTCACTCCGGAAACACACAAACACAGTGACAGACACAGATACACACACACACACACACACACGCACACACACACACAAAACTTCCAGTTGCTAAGCCACTTCTATCATTGCTAAAGAAACCCAACATTTAATATACATAGAGATATTAACATCCATCTGTACACACACCGTCACAGGAGGCAGGGAGAGAGAGTGCTGCTGTTCCAGTTAAAGAATGATGGCACTTCAGTTGGAAACTATTACACATTCACCATTTTCTAAGCATCTCAGAAACAAAACAGAACAACTCACAGTGACACTCTGCAACAGCACACTACATTGTCTTATTACTACTATGATTTTTTTTTGTGCAAGAGTAAAAAGAAAACCTACCTAGAAGCAACTAACACATATCAATTTTTTATAGGCTTATCAAGAACAGCCAAAGAAACCTCAATGTTTTCTTTCACAAAGTAGGCTGGCAAAGGAATTCAATCAGGAGGTACAATTTGACACAGTGAAATAAAACCAGGCTGGCTCTCGGCCAACATGACGTTAGGAATCACACACAAGCTGAACCAACTGCCTTCTGGTTCATGGCTGACTTTTTAAAGCTACAGTGTGCCTGTTCACTTTGGCTAACTACCTTCAGCACAGTGGAAGAGAATGGATCACGAGTCCCAAGGCGGCAGAATTCTTGCACCTGTCTTGTACAAAAAAAAGCTGTCTCAGTAGCTTCTTATTTTCCTCCCTCCCTTTCCTGTGGCCGAATGGGAATTTACTGTTGTTCTGAGCATGCATGCCACTCTTCAAACTATTTCTTTTCCTCCTGTCTGGGAAAAATAAGAGAAAACCCAGGGCTTATTGGCAATACACAGTGAGCACTTAGAAGCTACAGTCCTGCCTGATAGAGGCGTGGATAAAGTTCCCAGAGCTGGCTTTTAAGTAATCTCTTTGTGAGAATAAGGAACTCGGGGGCCAGCAGCAAATCCCTTCTCTTCACGTGCAGGAAGCAGCATCTTTCAAAGACGATGCAAAACAGCTGACTAGAGCTCCTAGAAACATCCACATTCTTTTATTGAGGCATTCACTCTACCCAGTGAAGCCAACCAAAACTCAAACAGAAACAAAAGCTTATTCTACAAAAGGAAAACTATATAGCAAGGTTTAATTTTAATTGCTTATCTCATTTGCATAAAAACATAACCCCTCCCACAAATTCAGCCAATACTTATAACCTATGAGCACCTGGTACTGTGTAAGTGACATATAAATAAGGTGTTCCAACCCACCACCATTTAAGTCCCAGTTCAGGAAACTAAGTGGTATGGTAGAGACTGGGGAGGCTCTTTTGATGGTGATTTGGTCAATTTTACAGTGCCCTCGATTGGCTGGGAGCCACTTCTAGGATTTGGGGGGACACATTCCTACTCCATAAACTTCATAAACATCTGCACATGGGCAGGTAGGGAATATACATCAAACAACATCTGGAAAAAGCAATTTTTTTTTTTTGGTCTTTTTGAGACAGGGTCTCCCTGTAGCCCCAGGTGTCCTGGAATTCACTATGTAGACCAGGCTGGCCTCGAACTCACAGAGATCCGCCTGCCTCTGCCTCCTGAGTGCTGGGATGAAAGGCGTGCGCCACCACGCCCAGCTAGCATCTGGAAATTTTTATGTCCTGATAGGCACAAAAAATTCCTACTTGGAATAAGGAAAATTCAAGTTTCCCAGAAGGAGCCTGGGAATCTGTCTATAAACGTAATGTGTAGACCTCAGGCCAAATGAGGAGAAAGTGGCCTGCCTCCTGGGTCTTTTCCAATACTTAAGGATGCTCAGATATCAACTATGATCTAAATTTGGATCCTGAATTCCAAAGTTATTTCCCCCTTACTTAATTCAGGAAAGGTATTAGAAAGCTTCACCTTTCTGAGAGACAACTGCTGATAAACATTTCAAAGATTCTGTCTACCTGCCTTTGCCACGTCTCTTGTAAAAGTCAACAGTTATAATTTTTAGGGGTGAATTCTAAGTGCTCAAGTATTCCCAGCTACCATTTTCCAAGCATGAGTTGCTCTGTGTTGTATTCTCACCACTGACCAAAATGATGACCCTCTAGGGAGAATTAAGAGCTCTTTCATCAACACAGCCATAGTGCTTTTGAACTTGATTTGAAATTCCTGAACTTTAATCCAACAACCGCCAAAGGGAACAGAGTTGCACTGTGGGTCTTGTGGACACAGGGGCAAGAGGAGGGAGGGTATCCTGATAGCCTTGCTCAGAATACAGCTTAAAAAATGGATCTGTTCACCACTCTTCAAGGGAAAGAGTCAAAGAACCCGTCACCACACCCAACTCTTCCTTGGACAGAGTCACAGGAGGAAAGAGTCTGTGAAGTTTCTCCAAGCATGTCTCCTACATATAGAAAAGGACATCCTCTCCCTTCTCACCTGCTGTGATCAAAAGTTTGCCTGTTAAACAAGTGTGTTTCAGGAAGTATTATAGGAAATCAGTCCTATTTCAGAAAAAGTGAGCCACAAAGGCACTCTAAAGGCTGACAACAGGTCTCACCAGCTAGTTTCTAACAGTGGAAATAAACTGACATTTGTAAACACACACACACACACACACACACACACACACACACACACACAGTATTCACCCACCCATCTTCGCATCCTCCAACAAGCACATTAGCCATTTGGTCTGTTAAAAATGATGTGTATCAACACTATTTGAGTGAGGTGTACCATGTGTTTGTTGGGCATGTATGCAGTATGCATGTGTATGCTTGTGTTTTGTGGCTACAGAATGTGTTTCTGTGTGAGAGACAGGGAGAGAGAGGACGGAGAGAGAGGAGAGAGGAAAGGAGAGGGGGACGGGGAAGGAAGGGAGGGAGGAAGGGAGGGAGGGGGGAGGGGAGAGAGAGAGAGAGAGAGAGACTGACTTTCTTAGGCAGCACATTAAGGGATGTGCTAGGGAACTTTGCATACCCTGGAGTCAGGATTCTGGGACTGGGAATCTTACTGACCACTTGAAAGCGCCCTCAGATGGAGGAGGGGAGCGAGTCCTGAAGGGCGGGAAACTGATGTTTCAAGTGAGTGGCCTCTCTTAGCGACCAGCGTTCATCCCATCTCGGGGCAGCACAGTCGCGCCAGGAAAGACAGGCTGCTCCATAGGGACCACCCGCCCCTGCCAGGTCCTGGATCGACCCCTAGTCGCATCTTGCCCGAAGTTACCCAAGGGGAGGGCTGGACGTCCCGAAGGGCACGCCTGGGGTCAAGGACAGGTGGCCTGCACGGGGGCAGGACCGAAGACGCCAGGCAGCGACCAGCAGCGCCAGCCAAACGCCTGACGGCTCGCAGCGGCGCCGGCCACAGAGGGGAAAGTTTCTGGCTGCGACTTTGGAGGAGAGCCTGGCGGGTGGCCTCAGGCTGGAGCTACCGGGGTGGCGCCGCGGCTAGCACCCCGTCCAGCCGGTCCTACCCACAGCTCTGCCCCACAGCCCCGCAGCCCCGCGGGCTGGGCACGCTCCTGCCCCCGCTCCTCTCCAGGGGGGACACCGTGCGCGCCCGCGGATGCACGAGTTGCAGGAGCGCAGACACCCTGCACTCAGGGGACCGTCGGGTTTTGGGGGTGGTTTAGGTTGGGGTTTATTTGTTTTTGTCCTCATCGTGAGGTTCACAGGTTCCTTCCATCCTGGAGAGGAGGGAGGGCGGGCGCGTTCCCAGGCCGGCGCTCACCCCTCACTTACCTCCCGCCCAGCAACGCCGGGAGGTTTGCCCCGCTCAGCGCTCAGTGGCCGCCACGTGCCTAGCCCGTGCAGCGCTGGGCGCAGGGCACGCCGGGAGTTGTAGTCCAGCCTCCACGCCGGGGGCGGGGGGTGGGGGGGTTAGGGGGTGTGTGTGTCTGGGGCTGTATCCTGAGGTGGGGGCTCAGGGAGGGAAGAGAGGGAAGGGAGTGGATCGCGGACCCTGAGAAAATGAGGATGTTTGCAAAAGCTTAAAACTTCCAGGGAGCAGAAGGGAGGGGACGTCCTCCTAGAAATATTTGTAAAGTGGAAGTCGCCAGGTTAATACTATTTTCTTCCTGATAACCCCGCTGAACTTGTAAACTGGACTTTGGCAGCAATGAGTCGCGTTTTCCTGGGCTAAGTTCGTATTATGTAGGGCTCTGTGCTCTCTTCACCCTGAATGTGAGCATCTCATATTTTCCTTGGAAGCCTCTATTCTCTTGTTCACCGAATAACTCAGGTGAATCCCTGGTCATGACCAGGGAGGATAATTGCACTCTGCATTCACAGACCACTCTGCAGCACTCTTTATAAAGCTCTATTTACTTAATTGGTTCATTCTATTAGAAGCATAAAGCGACACTGGGATGTAAGGGAAGAAAAGCTAAAGATGCAGAGTTCTGTATTTCATTCCCAGAACCCATGTAAAAAAATAAAAATAAAAGCCAGGCATGGTGGCAGTGGTTTGCAATCTCATAACTGGATAGGCAGATCACTGACTCTTACTGGCCAGCCATCTAGTTCCAAGCCAATGAAAGACTCTGTCTCCATAAAAGAGGGAGGGGTCAGCACCTGAGCAAGTTGTTGTCTGGAGTCTACAACCACTCACAACAGGCACTCAAGTACACTTGCACACACATGAACACACACATGTGCCCCCATAGACACCAAAGAAATAATTGATGAATAGATAAATTAGTAGTGAGAGTTCTCCCAATGTGTTACAAGAATAAAAGGGAGGACAGAAAGGCAGGGGATTAAAGGTAGACATTCAGCAGAAGACTGTGGGTTGAAATACGATAAAGCTGTGCCAAAAGGAAAACAAATGTAGCCAGGATTTCAGAAGCCACAGAGACCTAAAATCCCTGACACCTCTGACTCAGGTATGTGACCTTAGGAGTTATTTACCCTTTCCAAATCCCTTTGACCTCATCTTTAAGTAACACCAGTTGTGTAATAATGGCTGAGGTGGTAGGACAGATTAAAATAGACAGAAAGCACTTAGAGTAGTACGTGGCCTATTATAAGAACTGAACTCGTGTTAGCTGCTATTATTATCTACAGAAACTCCTTTTGTGGAAGTATCAAAAGGTAAATTGGAGTGGATGCACCTCTTAGGAGGAGGTGACTATGTTCTAAGCTACAGGCAATGATGTCTTGAACTGCTGTGATAGACAGGAAGCAGGTGGGAGTCCTTGGAGAGAAAATAGCATTGAAATGCAGTAAGTTGCAAATGGAGAAAGAGGAAGAGCGAACCAAAAATGGCTGTAATTTCCAGATTGAGGATATGGTTGGTGTTGCCATGCTAGAAATAGACAGCCAGTGAAATACCAGTTTTGAAGAAAGATGACCAGTTTGATTTGGGGCTTATATCACCTGAGGCTTTCTGGGTATGAATGACCACAGAACAGTTGGAAATACTGCTGTGGGTATTACGTGGAGAGAAGGAATTTTGAGAGCCATTTATGTAAGAGAGGTAGTTGGAAAGCTTGTGTAGAGACAACAGGAAGGAAGGCAGGAGGAGGTGAGGAGGTGGTGATGATGGCAAGAACTGGCAAACACATGCTGCAGGGGTCCACAGAGGAGCCAAGGAAGAAAGGAGTGGAGGAGGAGCATGCCGGCAGGCCAGTCACTGCAGAAAGGAAGCCAGTAACCACAGAAAGACACTATTGGAGGCAGAACTACCCTGGGACTTGTCTGGGATGTGTACAAGGATGAGTTTGCTTTTCCTACCGATTGGGAAGGGACATTATCTGGATGGAGGTGGTGGAGCCCAAAGTGCTAGGTGTTTTCCACCGTCTGGGACAGATACATTTCACATTCTTTGTGTCTCCACTGTCGCACTGTTCCACTGCCCCACAGTTCATTCATGGAGGTATAAACCTGTGTCAAATTATCTCGGCTTAGACTCTATTTTTCACTTAAATATAAAGTGTTTCTCATATGGTTTTAAAATACACCAAATTTTCAGATGCTATCGTTCATGGAACTTGGACCACCAGCACAGTCATTTTGTGGCTGCCCTTTTTCCTGGCAATTGCAGCACATGGACACAAATCTCTGCTTCACTAGCATGTATTTCTTATCGAATGATGGTTTAGCACCTAGGGCGGTAAATCTTGATTGTGAACTGAATTAGATATGGGATTCTACTCAGAGATGTGCTTCTGGTCAGGTCTATGAGGGTATTTCCAGGAAGGATTGAATAAGGGGAGAAGACTCTTCTCCAGTGGACAGAACCTTCTGGCAGGTGGCCAGATATGAAGAATTCTGAGGAAAAAGCAATACTGCTTGCTTGTCCTCGTTTCTTGCTGCTGAGGGCAGCTGTGCCTGCCGCTGCTGCTGTCCTTCACTGACATCAAGACCCAGTCTTTGGATCCCAATGTAGACTGAAGACTTACCAAGAGTCTTCCAGACGTCCAGTGCTGGAAGGACACTACTGAGGCATGCACTGTCATGGACTGAGTAGCAGCCAGGTCATTGCTGGAACCCAGTCCCTCTCATGCAAGTCGTTCTAATACACCCCTCTCGAGAGCCCTGAGTAATACAGCACCCACTGACCCACCTTTCCCCATTCCTCTCTCCCACTTCTTTTCGGCATCTGCCAAGCACTGCTCTATGGATTTCTGAGCAAAGAAACAGTAAGGGAACTGCAGGGTTAGTAGGAGAAAGACTGAGGCTCGCCTGCAGCTGGGATTTGCTGAAGCAGGGTTTGTAGGCCCTGAAGGACTTTGCTTTCCACTCTGGATGAAATGGAAGCTGCAGGGAGTTTTGAGCAGATGAGTAATAGCAGAAGGCATGTTTTTAAGGGATGATTTGGGCTGCACTATCACGGATAGATCACAGGGAACAAAGTTAGAGACAAACTAATCAAATAATTGCAGTAATTCCAGATAAGCTATAAATAATGAATTAGGGGCTAGAGGATGACTCAGTGGTTAAGAACACTGGCTGCTCTTGCAGAGGACCCGGGATCAGTTCCCAGCACTCACATGGCAGCTAACAGTCCATCACTCCAGTTCCAGGATATCTAACTCCCTCTTCTGGTCTCTTTAAACACTGCATGCAAGTGGTGCACTTACGTACATGCAGGCAAAACAGTCATACACAAAATTTAAAAAAAAAAAAACTAAAAAAATTAATGGATTAGATATGGGAGGACAATTAAAAATTTCTGAGCATACAGAGAGGGGAGGCAAAAAGATGGAGACAAATGAAAGGGTGTGAGGGTCCTTGTAGGAATGAAACTTTGGGAATGGCCCAATAACCTGAGACTTCTTGTGAGAACTGATGTGGATACAGGAATAATAAAATGGCTGTGGGGAGTGTGGGTGAGTGTTTGGGTTCTGTGACTCTGGATGGAGAGGAAGAAGTCTAAGAATCAAGCAGATGCTTGATCCATATTGGAATATTGAAAACTTGGGTAAGGGAGACTCAGCCCTTGAAGCAGTGCCCACTCAGGACCCCTGCAAGAGTGGGCAAGACTTACTCAGAATGCATAGTCCCACTCACTGTGCCCATACATAATTATACAAAAGTTGAGATCCTTTTCTGCTATAGAGGCTGAGAGACAGGGGTCCTGATCTTTCTGATGACCTTATTTCAGTGGAATGCTTTTGAGGTCTCTGAGAAAGAAACCCCTGAGCTTGTAGGACTTGGCTTCCCATTCACAGCTACATTGGTTGGTGAGAAACATGGATTCCTTTGATTTGCTTTTCTATTATATATATATATATATATATATCTGAGGGAACAGAGGTAAGGATTCACAATTGGCAAGACCTTTTTTTAGTAAATGTTCTGAGAAGAGGTGGTCAGGGGCCTGTTGTCACATGGTATCTAGGAACAAACTAAGGATGTGGTCTTAAGTTGTTAAAAACTGTCAGTGTTTGTTGAAGACTTTACAAACCAAGGCTGAGACCTTGCTGAGAAGGAAGCACAGAGAAGAATGGTAGAGTTTGGTCAAGGAGAAAATTTTCATTAGTTGAAATTGCTGTGTAACAAATACCCCCAAAATATAGTGGCTTCAAACAACACATTATCTCACATTGCTGTAAGTCAGGACAACTTAGCTCAAGCCCTTGCTTCAGAGTCTCTCACACTGTTGTAGAGCCAGGCTGCAGTTCTAGTTGAAGGTTCAACTTTGAGAGCATCAATTTTCAAGCTCCTCTGTGATTTTTGGCAGGATTGTGTTTTCTGTGATTGACAGCTTCTTGCCACTTGGGTTTCTCTAAGGTGTAACCTACAACTTGGCAGTTGGCATTATCAAAACAAGGGTAGCTGGAAAATAAACAAAACAGATGTTATCATCTTTTACAGGCTAATTCCAGAAATGAAATTCCATCACTGTCCCTACATTCTCTTTGTTAGAGGCAGGTTTTCACTGTGTATCATTTATACACAGAGAATTGAACAGCAAGAAGCGGGTAAACATTGGGAGAGGCTTTAGAAGGCCTCCTATCACAGTGACAATTTTGAGGCTGTCAAGTCCGATCTAAATGACATCTTTATGTTGGTATTTATCAATTAACTTTAGAAATGAAGAAATGGTGAGGGGTGAAATTCTCCTTCTTCTCCACACCTCAGTCAGTCGCGAGAGTAAATATGATTTGTATTCTAGTTCGTTATCATCAAAACCGTCAAAATATTTTCTTTATATTGTGCGTAGTTTTCTCTTCAGTATTATCAATTCTGTCCAATTTTTATGAATTAAATATAGTTATTTAAGTGTAATTTTATATGTTAAGTAGATTCAAAGCTCACTTCTCAGCCTTTGCAATTCAAGACTTCTCATTCATGAATTCCTTATTGTTACTCAGCTGTTCATTGTCT